CTATTTGAAAAAGCAGTGACAACTCAGATTAATAGTATAAATTAATATACGTAATTCAAAGCTTTTAACATAGGTCCTTGGTTCACAAAAGTCTGCTTTTGTACACGTATTTCTGAGACAATGAGTAATGTATGTTTTTCCTAAAATATACAAATTGTATTTTGGTAATGAACTCACACAAATGGAGCATCTATCATTGGTATATGTTATGGATCTACCTGCCAGGGTTGAAGTTTTAAATATGAGCCACTCTGTTCAGAAAACTAGTGGTGGAAAGCAACTAAGTGGGTTATATCCAGTGTACTTAAAGCTGCACTAATCAATAATTTTTATATTAACAATGGATCCAATGACTGTGTGTAACCTGAAAGGGGTCATTCATAGTGATGAACTCACAGAGAGTCATCGCTCAACTCCTCACTTCCCCTCAGCTCTACAGAGCGTTTTAATGTCTTTCAGAAAATTGTTTTGATATTTTTGCAACTTAAAGGACCAGTGAATCAGATTTAATGGCATAGCGATGAAGTTGCAGATTATTATAACCCCCTCGCCTCACCTTCCTGTTCCAAAAACTGTATAAAGGTAGCATACTGAATAAACACTGTATGCTTTCTGTGCAGCAGCAAATGTCAGACAGACAAGTTAGCAACAAGCGGATGAACATATTGGAACATTTAGCTGCTAAAGTGTCAGATATACAGTATATTCAGAAGATGATGGAAACCAAAACAGAGCAAAGGAGAGTGAATTGTGGCTAGGAACACAACTATAAATTAATGAATGTGGCTCTGTTTGCCAAGTTTCACTAAATCAGCTTCTTAAGGGGAATATGTCTGCATTGTACAGCTTTTAGTACAATTTCTGGATAAAGGTACATTACTTGAGGCTTTTATGATACATATTAATTTTGTCTTGAAAATATGGTAGTAGTTGGACAAAAAAAAATATTAGAGGAATAGTTAGAGTTTTTGGGGGACTCTCATTGGCTTTCTTGCCAGGAGTTATGCTAATTCCTTGACTTGTCGTTACCAAGAGGCTGACCCCCCCATAAAACTACAAGTTGTCGTTTTCTACGGTTATTGTATTGATTAAACAAACAAGATATGTTAATAACTGAACTGAAAACAAATTTGTTACATTTGGAAAGAGCCAGGGTAGCTGTTTCCCTATTTGCATTCTTCATGCTAATAAACAAAGCTAACAGGCCGCATTTCCGAAAATCAAACTATTCCTTTAACTCAAAGTTCACTTACTAGCCTTTTCTACTAATTTAAACCACATTTCAGAAGCTGATACTACTGACATACTTGTCTTGAAGTAAAATTGTATGCTTCATTATTTATACATTGCAGAATTTCTACTTTTACTTAAAGCCCTTCCAAGGGGCTTTCATTGATTTCAAGGGGAATCTGACTGAACCCAACTCTGTGGTAGGCTTTAAGAAGAACTATAGAAAGGCTATTGAAATAGCTTTGTGTGTTTATGTAGGTCATATAGGGGCATCAATATTAAATTGAGTTGAGTTCATGACCGACTCTTTGCAAGACACTTAAGTAAAATTGAATTTAGGACCTTCATTGTAATGGAGTATTTTTACATTGCAGTATTGCTGCTTTCACTTAAAAGATATGAATACTTCTTCCATGACTGTAAAATACATAGACCTACTGTATATCTGAAGAACTTATGAATTATTAAACAATTGCAGCATACTAAGGAAGTGAGTCAAATATTTTAGTTTCTTTTGAATTGGCTCACATATGATTCAGTACAGAGTGTACAGTATCTGCCTTTATGCTGAGATGGATCCTGGAGGAATGGATGAAGCACTATGAACACGTAGCCGCAGCAGTTGATTTATGGTGATGCATAACTAGTCTTTTCTCAGCGGACAAATGAGCCTGCCTCAAAATGGATCCTCTCAGCGTTTTGAATAAGCTCTCCTGGTGCAGTGTGCACGCATTTTGGGATCAGTTTGTTTAATGACAGCGGGAAACATCTTCAATCCATCATTACTTAGGCCTTGTGATTAGTAAAATGCTCATCAAAGTCATAGTGGGAGTAAAATGCCCAGGTGGTCTCCGCACAATCAATCAAATTGACTAACTCACAATGAAAGTGCGCGCACACACACAGACACACACTCTTTTTCTGAGCTTTGTGTCAGCCATAAGCTCTTTCCATTAAACCTGCGCTGCATTAGGCATTTGGGTTAAAAGCTTTCATAATCAGGTGTGTTCTCATTTAGTGCACAGAGATTTCCAAGATCAATACTGTCCCTGACGTGAGGGCTTTGCCCACTGTGTGTAGGTGTGTGTGGGCGTGCATCATGTTTGTATGCAGAAGGACCTTAGAGCCAGAGCTTTGGCCCTAGTGTGTGTGTGTATATATCTATGTGTTCATGTATTTGCCCGTCTGAGTGTCTGTTTACTGTCTTCTGTCTGCGGGCGGCAAACCGCTTCCTACTGTGATCTCTTCATTCTGTGTTTGAGAGGAACTAACAGTGCTGTTCTGTAGATGCTGCGGTTGTTTTTCTGCCTGACGCCCCCTCAGTTGATCCCGAGGTCCACTTTACAGACTGCTACTGCAACAAATGTAGAGTCAAAACCCATTAATGAGCCCAACACACACACACAGGTACCTGCTCTGGTGCCTTTTTCTTTGCGCGTTTGTGAATTTTATGCTTGAATGTGTATGTTAGTGTCTCGGATGCATCTTAACCAGTGATAAGCGTTTTATTCAGCCATAAAATTACATTTTCTTCTACTTTACCACTGAGGTGCAGGGGTGAGGACTGGGGGGGCAAAAGGTTACTGAGTGTACATGTTAGGGAGGACCGCAAAAATACTAGAATGAAATGCTGTGGATGCAGAGGGTCCAGAATTTCGTGCTACGCCCCTGTTGAGGTGAGACAGCTGTATTTGCTCTGTATGCAGATCAACTAATTTTAAGAGTTTTTATGAATCCGGTGATATTGACTTTGCAGAAGACGAGGGATTTGTTCTAAATAAGAATTCAAAACACAGTCTTCCGACTTAATTGCAATGCCTTACATAAAACTGGGAGGGAGACATCACACAAATGTTTCAACCCTATGCCTACATTAGAACCTCAAACTTCATTTCCAACGAGTCAAATAAAGAGAATGTCTTGTTAAATTGGTGTTTTCTGCAGCTTGTACTGTATGTATTTGTGTGTTTTTTATGAGCGCGAGCCCAGTGTGTGCTTGTGAGTTTGTTTGCAAGTGTGTGGGCGTTCAGGGACTTTTAGAGAAGTATGCCTGCAGCAGCGTTTTTACAAATGCCTCCTCTGCATTGAGATCAATACGTTAGGCCTTGGGGGATGAGCTTGACCTATGTGAGCAGTTTTTCATAATCACTTACGTCTTAAAAATACAGTTTTTCCCCGTAGTAGTGCTGCCTTGGATGTGTTCTATTTTATTTTTCCACTTGCTATATTTGGATGGAAAACATGCCAAATGGACAGATTTAAAAAAAACAAAACGACTAATGGCTTTGTCATTTTTCAATTAAATGCCGGAAAGCACATGAACAGGCTGAGATAACGTCATAAATAAGGGGAAATGTCTCTTTCAGACTTTCGCCGTTGGTCTGCCTGAGATTATGTTTAGTAAACATGAACTTGAACCACCGGTGTGATGCGTGTCAAATGTCAGTGGCAAGAACATATGTCAGCAGTTATCACCTGTCTGACCCCCAGATCAATTCCCTGTCTTTGAATTTCAACGTGATAGATATTAAATTGAGCCTTGCATTTCAAACAACTGTTGTTTTCTTCATGAAATATTACACTTAACATCAATCCACTGCTGAGTAATAGCGTCTTCATCCCTGACACTGCCAAAGGGCTGTGTCCTGACAAACTGTGATGCCTTCATTCCCAGTAGTATTCCACTGAAGCAGGCCTTGGCCCTGACAGAGCAGTCTGTGATGGCTATGTTCATTGTTCATGCGCTCAATAGGCAGCACATGGCGTGGGCAGCAGTCAGTGGGGCTAAATTTGTGCCTCTCTGCTCATTCCGGGGATATTTGTGACTTGCTCCTTGTTGACTCGTTGCGCTTCTTGCTGACAACGGGTCTCTGTGTGTCACGGACTGCTAAATCCAGCCAGCTGTATGCAATTAGGCTGCAAAACGCTGGGGATGTGCATGCTCCTCTGCAAAGCATCAAGTGGTTGTTATACGAACTGCTGATTTACAGCCTGTGATAAGCTAAAGAAAAATCATATTAAATGTCATTTTTGCCATTAGATTTCTTGTAACAGGTTTGAAGCAGTAATAACAACATAGAAGTCAATACATCACCATATCCTGATCGTTAAACCAATTAAGACGCATCCTTTATGGGTGACAACAGAAATCTAGATTTATTGAGTAAAAATTATTTAAGCAAAATCAATGAAATCAATAGCCCTGGATTAAAATAATAAAACATATATTTTTTAAAAATGTTATGTAGGAAATAAGGCTACCTTAGAGGCTACTGTACATTAATCAAATAAAAGTGTCAGAACTTATGGGTACTGCTACTGTAATTGCAACAGAATAAATTGCAGTAGGTTTAATAAAATGTCTTTAATGTTTTCATCTTGTCGACGGAAGGCTATTTTGACAGACAGACAGGCACTGGTTCATAAATCAGTGGTCACATCTTTTCCCCCAGGGAGATTCACTGTTGTTTCCTAGGTAACAACCCCCTCCCTCCCTTCCCCTTGGTTCCTCTGGACTGTACCACCTTTACTGTAGGGTGGGAATTGCGTTGTTTATCGAATAGAAGTCGATTTCCGTGTTTAAATAAAACGAAATATGGCAGTACATTACAATTAAACACGACTTTTCTTTTAGTGGCAGTGCACGCTATCTTATACAGTCGCTTATAAAGGCGTTATTAATGTTTACACCTTAGTACCAACCCCCTGGCGAAGCACATTCAACATTTCATCGAACTGTCAAAATCGCTTGTTGCTTCCTACCCTAGCCTTAAAAGTAGTTAGCGAGCTAGCGTGTAGCGAGTGATAGCTTACTTCTGCCTTTCACTGACATACACTCCGAAAGCGAAAAAGTTTGCTGCCGCAAGGAAACAGTGAGAAGTGTCAGTCGAAGAGCATTTATTTTTTATTTTTTTCGCCGTCCTGTTCCGAGCCTTGGGTCCAGTGCCAACAGAAATAGCGCTCTCGAGAAGCGGCGGCGGCTGAAGTGCAGCTGGATGTGACAGGTTCGTCACCAGGTAAGCTGCAGGTACTTAGCTCCAGCAGCTAACCTAGCACCCCTTTGGCTCTGGCGTTTCTTTACACACTTGCTACGGCGTCATGGCGAATGTAGCGTCTCTGTGGGCCGTAGAGGTGGATGCAAATGGCTCTAGAGATGCCACTCCAGTATCAGAAACACTACGCGCTGATGTCCGGGGGTTGCTATGCTAGCCCACACTGTTATCTTTGCCCTAATAGCTCATGGAAACTAGTGGAAGCAGCTCCATGAGAAAACCAAGATGAAACCAGCGTGTAGGACGTCCCTGCGTGTCTCTCCTGCACTGTAATGCTTTCTGGGAGATGCTGTTTGCTATTAGTGGAGAAGCCATAATGACCACAGTGAAGTCACAAGGGAGTAGGTTTGATAATAACTCATTAATTATTGACTCCATGTATGATAGTCACCAGTATTAAGCAGTGTTGCCACCATTGTCCCACCCTTATTCCAGTGCACTAATATTGCATGTTATTACTTTGAAATGTCAAAAAAAAACACAATAAACGTAATGGCACCCTGATTAATGGATGGTTAGATGTAATTGCTGTGTACAAGGGGAAATAAAGCAGTTCTAATGAGACGTAAGCGGAGGCACATTTTAATCTACTGCAGGTTGGCCGAGCAGGAGCCTTTACTCCTGGGTAAGGTTAATAAGTTGTGATCAGGCTAGTTGCTGGGTCGTGTACAGTAATTGGTCCTCCTGAAAATGCAAACTGACATCTGAGAGCAGAAGTGCACCGGTGGAAGCACGACGCAGCCCGGCAGCAGGAATTAAGTTCAAATGAGCTGTCAGTATTACAGCGTGAAGAGGTCTGTGGCTTCCCATTTGCATGGAACATGTTGCGTTCATTAAGGCTGTTAAGAGCTGTGGTGCGTTTGAGGAAGACGTGGCAATGCGCCGCCACTTTGGCCGGTGTATAGGATCATATTAGCAGCAGATGAACCTCCAGGAAATAGCCTGTGTTTGTACTTTCTGGTTGATCTTCATCCATTCTTTTTTAAACCTTGGACGCCGTCTCCATGCACATTCTTGAACTTGCCCCGAAAAGACACTGGTTGACCGCTTGCCTACGCATCCATTAGGCACTTGTTTATTCTCAATCATCCTGTGGACTTGTTTGTGTGTGTGTGTGTGTGACAGACTTACCAGAATGGGTTTCAAGCGGAAGGAAGCCCAACTCACTGCCGCTTGATATTTGATTACGGCTAATAATAGAAAAAGACAGCTGCCTTTTCATCGATCTGTCTTCGGTGCCCTATTTCTGAGCCCTGTGGTTTTTTTTCCCTCTCTCTCTCTCTCTCTCTCTGTCGTGTTGAACCGGTAGTAATGACACAGAATACTGCGCTGGGCAGCAAACGCACTTTGAACCCATCGCTCTTCATTTGCTGTAATTAGCCGTTGTTTCAGAACACTCCTTTTGTGTCTGAAAGCGAAGCCGCTTTGGGCCGCAGAATCTGGGCGCGTGTGCGAGCGAGCCAAGCCGCTCGGGGTCAAACAGGACGGGGATAATAAGAGGGGAGGGGACGCCGCGTGGGAAGGAAGTGGCTCGGCTTGTTTGTCTGCCAGGCTTTTGTTTGTTTTCCTGTCGGACAAATCTATTCAGGAGGTCGGCTATCTGAGGTCTGCCGGTGGAAATTAGCTACAAGCAAAGGCTTGTTATACAGCTATTGACAGTTATTCGCTAATGTGGTTATTGAGAAGTCGGTTGCAGCCAAATGAGAAATTGATAGGCTTCAATCCATCCGCGCTGGTTGAGCAGGCTGGGTGCAGGACTGCTGTTATTCTGGATGGATCCTAACATCATAACATTTTGAGGTTTTTTTTTCCAGTCGCTGCCGCCTCGAAGCATTCCTGCTCCTCAAATCTCCTGCATCTGCGTTATAAACCAGAGAGGCTACATTTACGGAAGCTGTAAGGTGACACTTCTGCTTATGACAAAGGCTGACCCCCCCCCCCCCCCCCCC